GCCGAACGTGAAACACTTGCAAAAAATAATGCCAAGTGGCAAGTGGCATTCTAACTAAGTGCCAGGCATTCAGCAAAGTCAGTGGCAGCTGGCATTACAAGCCGAACGCCAAACACTTGCTCAAAAATGAATCAATGCTGATCGGCAAGTGGCATTCTAGCCGAACACCAGGCATTTAACAATGTCAGTGGCCGCCGGCGCTACAAGCCGAATGCCAAACACTTATGAAAAATTAAGTTTAAAAGATTAAAAATTGAAACTTGAAGAATTGAAGTTTGGCTGAAAATAAGTATTGCCATTCCTTATTCCTTCATTACAAAACAATCCTGAAATACATGGCTTAATGTTCTGAGGATACATGAAGATACATTTTTTTTTTTTTTTTTTTATAAAAAAAAGCAAAAAAAAGAAACTGATGCAAAGGATTGTAGAATGTTAGTTTCACGGTCTTCTCCAGGCTGTGACTTGTTGTTCTCCCCATCATTACCCTTTGGCCCATTGTGATCTTCTCCATTCTTAGCTGCACCATCATCTTTGGAAGGAGAATCAAGATGAATCACCCCCTCAGCTAGCATGAGTCTGTCAGAGGCAACTAAAGTAGAGGGCATGATAGTCGTAATTGGAGGAATATTCAAAGGATGGAAGGGTGGAACAACCCCTGAGGCTGCAACCTCTCTGTATTTGATAAAGATGTTCTCAGCAGGGTCACAATGTGGATTCTGGTAGTTGCTTGGTGGATGAATGTCCAAAGAGGCCTCCAACTCATATGGACCAGCACAAGAGCTAGATTCACCTTCAGGGGGAGAACGGTCAATAAAGTTGTCTCTATACCCTTCAGCATACCTGAGGGCATTGGTTCTGGTGAAGCGGGCAAGGAGAGCTCTCATGCCCCCCTCAACTTTGCTAATCATATTCAGCAAAGAAGAGCGTTCACTTAAAAGCTTCTCCTTTGAGTTGGCATGAGACAACCGGTCAGCAATAAGTGAACGCTCGAGGTCTCCCTTCTCAGCCTTCAATGAGTCCCTTTTAGTCAGTGCGACGTTCTTCTCAGTCTTCAGAACATCAACTTTATCCTAAAGAGAGTCTTGTTCAGCCTTAAGGGTCTCCCGTTTAGCTACCAGAGCGTCCCTCTCATTTGCCAGAATGTCTTTCTCTGTTTTTAAGGCTTCAGCTTCTCTTTTTGACTTGGTTAGCTTAGACTCAAGCTCAGTGACTTTGGCCTCAAGCCGGCTTTCCGCTTCAACAGATCTTTTGAGGCCTGCAGAGAGAGACTTGAGCTTCTTGTTCAGAACCTCAACGATTTTCTGAAAGGTGAACATCCCAAATAGAGTCTGCACAGAGGAAGGGAGGTTAAGGTCAGTCCAGCCACTAAAAAGTTAAAGTAGAAAAGAGACATATCTCAATAAGAAGAAAAGTTACCTCCATGGCAGCTGTTAGGAACCGTCGGAACATCTCACCAAAGGATAACTTGTTCTGGATTTCAAGATCCTTGGGAGTCCAGAAACCCTTATAGAAAGCAAAGGAAGTGAGGGGGTCCTGGTATATAGAATCTGTAGGGCCAATGGTCGAGCCATCTTTACGGTTGAGCAAAGGGCGCCATGGAAGAACGGATGATGTTGGACCAGAGGTTCTAGCAAATTCACCCTCTGGAATGAAAAATCGAGCTGGGGGCATGAGTTCAGTAATCCTGAAAGAAGCCATCCTGGTCCTCCGGGCTGGTGGGACGTTACTTTGGTCATGACTGCCCTTAGGCATTGGCCTCTTTCCTAAGCTTTTCTCTGATATACCAGCTCTAACTGGCCCTCCATTGCTCTGAGAACCCCCAGCATCCTGAGTGCTCTCTAAAGAAGTGTCAGACAGAATGTTTGAAGGCACATTGGTGAGAGCAGCAGGATGGGCCTCAACAGAATGATCCACAGCAAGGTTCTCAACTTGGGTGGGCTCAGAAGGCCCAATAGCAGAATGATTTATAACTTGAGTCACAACTGGAGCAGTCACAACCTGTTCTGGGGCTGAGACAGCAGAGGTAGATGATGTGGTAGCAGTTGTAGAGGAAGATATGGTAACAGGAGCAGCAGAAGGGATGGGAGCAGAATGCCTCCTCCTGCTGAAAGATGGAATCTGAATATTCTCCATTATAGACCCTAGGAGAGAGATGTTAGAGAAGTTGTCAGGAGTAAGCAAGTCTGTAGCTGAAGGGACGTTGTTCAGCACACTCTCTTGTAAGATGTCTAGCCTGGCCCTGCAAACGCTATAAACCAGTTCATCATGAGGAATTTAAAGGCATCTACAAAGAAAAGTACAAAAATGGGGAAGGCAACTTTCACAGTGGCATTCAATGGGATGTGTTTTCAGTTTTTTGTAACTAGAGACAGAGCATACTCCAAAGGAGGAAGGGATAGAGAGAGATTAGCCGAACGGAGTCCTCCAATTTCCACTGACCCCAATAAAGTTTTGTCTCCAACCTTTTTCAAACGAGTTCTTATCTGTGCAGATCGACCGTTTGTCAATGGGAAAGAAGTGATAGTACAGATCACTTTGTTTGATTTTGTTAATTCGGTAGCGGAGGAGGGGGTCAATGATATCGAGATTGAGACCCCTATCACGGTTCAAGAGGAGAAGGACTGAAATTACCCTAAGGAAGTTAGGGTTAACCTGTAGAGGGCAAAGCCCCAATTTGCTGAAAACGTAGCAAAAGAATTGGTGTAAGGGGAACCTAATGACGTTTAAATGGACGGCAGAGAATAAAACCTCACCAGAAAGGAGACCCTCACTAGAGCTCCCATCTAAGTTTGTAGGGTAGATCCTAAGAGAGCCATCATTGGGAATGCTATTCTTGAAATGAATGGCGTTCAGATTTGAGGGAGCCATGAAGAAGGGGAGAAGTCTCTGGTAATGAAGGTTTCTTTTTTCAAAAAGGGTAGTAAAAAAAAAAAACTGACCTTGAGAAAGAAGTTTGTGAAGTACTCAGCAACGGCACAGTAGCCAAAATCACGAAGGAAAAACTCGCCGGAGAAACTGAAGAAAGATCGCCGGAGAGTGCAGGAAGATGACAGACGAAACTCAGGAAGACGACAACAGAGAATAAAAGTAGGATATGTTAAAGGAAGATAAAGGCTGAGATCATCAGGGTTTTTAAAGAGAATAAATGGAGGCGACACAGAATTCAAAAGGTCAAGGCAAAAGTGGCGCAGCAGATCTCAAAGTTTGGGTCTTTGTGCCAGCCATTCGATTCCTTGTGTCATCGCTCCGAGCTGTCAGACCAAGATTGTGTCTTTTCAATAATCTCACCCTAATTAATGAAGAGAGAGATTATTGGGGGCAGATGAAGACACCAAAAATGATCCGGGCTTGGTATGATTCGTATTGTTAAGAACGGATCGGGTATAGATAGCCAGGATGGAGCAAGTCCACGCCGAATGGGCCCAGATCCAAGAAGTCATTACGGAAGCCCATATTATGACGAAAGAAGTTGAGCCCAAACAAAAGAGAAGAAGATAGGTCCAGCTTAGGAGTGGTTATAACCGTCTAAGTGGTTGTAATCGTCTATAAATAGAGGGAATTGAGAAGGAAAAGAGGTTGGAAAAAATTATTGGGAGTGTAAAGTTTCTCTCTCTGCAATTGGGGAAAATTATTTGTACTTTCAATTGCACATGTTTAATCATTTCCCAAACATATCTTTATGATATCTTCCTTTTCATTTATAACTGAAAATAAATAACAATTAAGTGAAAGCATATTTTTTTTCTTTCATAATTAAGTGACACATGAATCATTCTAAAGTGATTCATAATTAACCATGTTCCTCTTTGTCGATATAGAGTGGTCTATTTTTTATTTTTAAAAGGTGTGGTGCTTTCTCAATGCCATGGTGTTCGTGTATATTGTTAGTTATTTGGTCACCTACCAAGATGGAAATTTCCCTTCACGATTTCAGTACATGGTAGTAACTTGTCTTCTTGCTTCTAGAATTCTGTTAGGTTAGAGTATATACCTTCAGGTGTTACCATCATCAGATGGATTTGACCTATTCTAAACTTCAACAACATTACAATATCTATCTAAAAAGATATATATATATATATATATATATATATATATAAGTTTGGTTAAATTCTTTGGAAATCATACCCATAGACTGGACCTCTCTGTCAATCTCTCTTTCTACCCCTCCGTATGCGGTATGTCTAGACTTTGCTGGCTTACACTTCACTGAGCTAATTGACACCATTGCAAGTGAGATTGTTGCTCTATTTTATTAATTGTCTGCTCTCTAAACTCAATTAATTGGTCTGACGGCATAAGAATGGTGGACTTGAGGACGGACTTTGGGATCACCAAATCTTCATTAATTTTCCAATTAATTACAGCTATAATTTAATCATACTAGCTATCATGATAATAATGATACATATAAATATGGATAGACTATATATCTCTCATCTACTCTAGAAACTAATTATTATACGTTAATTAATATATTTGACTAAAGAGTCAGAACTATCGGACTCACCACAATATGTGTCAATGTATTTTCCAATGGGAGTTGGGAATTTAGGATTATTGGACTTACATTTCCAATGATACCAACAGTAGTGATACGCCTATATATATATATATATATATATATATATATATATATATATAATTAAGGATTCTAGAATGAGAAAGACAAACAGAAAAAACCTTGGTCTTCTATGCATTTTGATTCGTTAGAATTTTCTAATACAAGGATTCTCATCTTTATGCCATACCCCATTTTAAATTATATGGCTGTTCCGGTGACTATGTTCTTCCTTTTCCACTTATTTTAACTTCTCTCTCCTCTGTCCTCTCTCTCTCTCTCTCTCTCTCTTCCTCCCCTCCCCCCTCTCTCTCTTTCTCTCTCAAACTAGAAGAGAGCAGTCAGCACTCTCTCTCTCTCACTCCCTCTCTCTCTCTCTCAAGAAACTAGAAGAGAGAAGTCTGCACCGAGATCGATCACAACATCGTGGAAAAAAATGGGTAGAGCTCCTTGCTGTGACAAAGCAAACGTGAAGAAAGGGCCATGGTCACCGGAAGAAGATGCTAAGCTGAAGTCGTATATAGAGCAGCATGGCACCGGTGGCAACTGGATTGCTTTACCTCAAAAGATTGGTACTGAGCACAAAAACTAGCTAGCTAGGATTACATCTATTTCAGTCTTTGATCTTCTTGTTTTTCTTTTTTTTTCTTCTTTATTTATATTGAATATTAGATCGAATTAAACTTGATTGAAGTTCCTTCTAATTTCTGACGCCATACAATATGAGTGTTGTTTCTGAATTAGGCCTTAAAAGATGCGGTAAGAGCTGTCGCCTTAGGTGGTTGAATTATCTCCGCCCAAATATCAAGCATGGAGGATTCTCAGAAGAAGAAGATAACATAATTTGCAGCCTCTATATGAGTATTGGAAGCAGGTAATTAAGTGGCATGGCTAATGATGCATAATTATCTTAATTATTACCTAATTAGGTTTAAGCAAGATCCAACAATATTTAGTGCCCTAGTTTACATGTTTTAACTAAAAACCTTCCCTTTGCATGAATAGGTGGTCTATAATTGCAGCACAATTACCTGGAAGAACTGATAATGATATCAAGAATTACTGGAATACGAGGCTGAAGAAGAAGCTACTCGGTAAGCAGCGCAAAGAACAAGCAGCACGTAGAAGTAGCTGCGCGAAGCAAGAGGCACGGAAAGGGGTTGAGAATTCTATGGTTGTCAATGATAATGGTAACCAGACCGCGTACTGGCCAGAGCTTCCGGTGCTGGCACCTATACCCTACTCAACCCACGAATCGCGTTTCAATGATATTACTTCTATCAGAAAATTGCTTATCAAACTTGGGGGAAGATTTTCTGATGATGATCAATTCATTCACAATGGGCTAGACTTTCATCAGCTCCCTATGGATGTTTCATCATCCAATATTCAAACACCATTTGAACACTCCATCAATTCTCTCTCTTCTATTCCCATGGATGTCTTGAGCACACCTACTTCTGAATTGGAAAACACCCAATACAACATAGATGGGGCAGGCTTGCATATATTGCCAGGACAAAGCAGTTTTCCAGCTGTTTTTGAGGAAATGACACTTAACAACCCACACAAATTAGATGGGATGGAGTTACTATATGAGGGCATTGTCGATAACAGAGCCGGCACTTCTTGTGGGGAAAGCACTGATTGGGTTGGGACAAGCTCCCTGGTTTTCCCTCCTTTCTCTTCCAACTATGAAGGTGGTCATCTTCAACAAGAAATGTTGCAGGAATGTGCTTTTGGTAAGTTGAGGTACCCCAGCCAGGAATAATGGTATTGTACACTGATGATTTTAATCTGTGCTACTAATGGAGGTGGTTTCTGCAAATTATTGGTTAAAACCCTAAAAAACTCGTAATTTGTTTGCTTTGCTACTTTGATTTCTTCTTAATTTGCTATAATATTGGAGGCTGTAATTAATGTTTATATCTAATTTGTCTAATGAGGTTTTATATTTTGATGGTCTAGAAAATCTTATGTTAATGTTGAATTAGGGGATCATAGGAGCTTGAAATGCTAAAATATAAAACGAAAATGAAATTAAGTTGATTGGTTCATCAACTGAGCATATTGAGTGAAGACATTTTTAGCTATGTTATTGTTTCTGCTGACTGATCTGATGAAGAACTATATTCTTGGTAGAATTTTTTACTAATAAAAGTTACATACTTGTTTAAATTCTTTAGCACATAAATTATCTGAGTCTGTCATAAAGTTTCTTGGAATCCCCAAAAAAAATGCACCTGGTATAACAGATTCCTTTATAACATTTTGGATACTACTTGCTGGGCTCTAGTAAGTAGGGTATTTTGCAGATCTGCTCCATTACTTTAGTGCTAACCATATCTGCGAAAACGCATCGTCATTTTAATCTATTTTAGCTAGTTTTGATTCAATCAAAAGAAACTTGAACTGCTTGATCTTTTTAATATGATTAATTAACCAGATCCTAGAATCACAGCTTGGATGTCTATGAATGTGTTTGTTGATGTGCTTCTTGCTTCTTCGTTATCAGTTTCTAGGGTCATGGAAATTCTTGTTTCTCATTACCAAAAATGAACAAGTGCAAGGTATATAAACATGAGGTCTAGAATTCATAAGTTCATTTGTTTATCATTTAAGTGTCAAATTTTCTATTCTTAGATTGAGGGATCTAGACTTGGCTCTTAGGTTCATCAATTTCTAATGAAACTTGCTTGTATTTTGAGTAGCATCACTATCAACGTAACAGTCAATGGAAGTCATTTATCTTTGCTTAAGATAATGAAAAAAATTAAGTCAATAGTCCCCATTAATTAACTAAAGACTAGCTAGGAATTAAATTTTAGACATTGATTATCACAAGTAATATATATATATATATATATATATATATATATATATATATATATTTGACAACAGTTTCTGATTTTGATAATGCACTCGGATATATATAGTCTCAATCCTAAAAAAATTTTGTCAGCAGAACGAAAATATCACTGTCACTTTGGTAGATTTTCATTCACAATTAACTTATATTTGTTTTGTTGCATGTTTAGATTTTTTTATCAATGCACTGGCTTTTTGGTTGTGATTAAACCTCTACATCTGTGGGTATTTTAGGGTTTCCTTTCCCTCATGACTTATCCCTATTGACCAAGAAATCTTTGTTTGAATAGCACAATATTCTAACATATAAACTTGAAGCTTGAGTTTCATATGAATCATATAAGAATATATATAGTTCAAATGCTTGTTTGCTCGATCTACCAAAAATAAAAATATTAAGTGAATCCAATATTGTGCTAGGAAGTTCATTTTCCTGCACTTCAAGTTTTGGGAATTCATGGTTTAATTCCCATGCATCGAAGTTCAAGTTCCATCTTCTCTAGTTAAATATTATCCATGAAATCAGATGCTTTATGGAAACAGAAATCAGGCAGTTTAATTTGGAATTTTTATATGAGCTAGCTTGTCATCACTTTTTTTTTTTTTTGAACAGTTGTCATCACTATTTTTCAAGTCCATGCATTTCGTAACGTTGATTGTATAGGCCAATATTGAGATGTACTGAAAACATCTAGTTGATTTGTTCACTGGTTAGTAACTTATTAAGTGAATTTATGGATTCATCTTCCAGATTTTTTGTTTGAGGAATCATATTTTTTTGGTACGAATTCTTCTGAATGTGTTTTTGTTTAGCTTAAGCACTGGTACTGCATCATGCATACTAATTTTTGGAGCCCAGTTAATTTAATGTTTTTGGATTTTGAATTAACAATCATGTAAATAGCTACCTAGCCAAGGAGGACTAGTTCTTGCAGAATATACACACACAGACAGTGACACACACACAGAGTAATAAAAAGAGGGATTTTCAAAAAGAAAGAAGATTTTAGCATGTTATTTGTAATATTTAAAAAAATCAGCTTTCCTTACTACTTTATGACAGCTCTTGCATTAAATAAATGTGGACTAACAAAGTGAATTGGGTATGAAATGTCTTCCTCTAAGACTGAGTTTATTGTAAAATTCGAAATCCCAGTAATAAGACTGTGACATTGATATTTACCTAACAAGCTGTAATTACTGTCAGTCAACACAGCACCATGTGCTGATAAAGCCTTCTTCAATACACATCCCATGAGTTTGGTTCCAATCAATATCACAAGCAGGAAGCCAAATTCAGAGGCATATAGTTCTCTAATGGCATTTTGGTTAAGTTTTCTGATAATAGTTTTTTTTTTTTTTTTTGGTTTGTGGAGATTTATTTTTGGGTATAGTTAAATTGAAATTTTATTAGGAGAATTGAAAATTAAAAATTTGTACATATTAAAATTTATTTGATTAATAGATTTTGAAAATAATTTTTTAAAAATTCAATTTAATTAAAAATGGTATGTTTTCATATAATTGTCTTTTAGAGTTATCTAAAAACAATTATTTGTTTTCTACCTTATTGAGAACTGTTTTCATAAAATTGAACTAAAGAGACTCTAAGAGATAGTTCTCTAAAAATAGACCTTTATGCACAAGTTTTTAAAATACAGTTTTCAAAACTGTCAACATAGCATATTTGTATAATTAAATATTTTCTATTTTCAGTGATCAGAAAATTAAACGAAACAAACCCTTAATTTTTCATCTTTTATGCTCACTTGATATGTCATAATATTAGTTGTTGGGATAAAGTTGCTTATTATTTGCTTTACCTTTCAAAAAAAAAAAAAAGATGTTTAATTATTCTAACCTTTTTTGTGCCATTTGTCATATAAAATTCTATGTTGTCTTTCATGTACCTGGCAGTTCCTTAAATTTCAATCATCATATAACATATTGTATTTTTTATTTTGTACTTGTTTTGTTTTTTGTTTGTTTTTTTTTACTGGTAACCTATTGCATTTCCCTTAATAAAGAAAATGAAATAACCTGTAATAAAACATAAAAAAAAAAAAAAAAAAAATATTTGATTAACATTATACAGTTGAGTTCATCTAGGCTCTAGCTATGTGGTTCAGTAAAATAGAATTTAGTTGACGACAATCCTTTAAATGAAGAACATCAAGGAATCCTTCTTTCCAGACTCAAGTAAAACCAAAGTGACAAGAGTGGGAGTACTGAATGCTTAAAAAGTATGTTAACTTGCAAATATCACAATGTAGTAAAGGGACTAGATCTTTCTTTCTTTCTTATTGTTACATGATTTTGGGAACATATTCTTACCAATTCTTGTCATATCACCATCATCTTTTTTGTGAAAGTCTTCGTAGCCTAGTTGTTAAGTTGCTTCCTGTTGTCTTTGGGAGCCCGACTTCGAATCTTCGTACCTCTAACTTTTAATCTAACATTCTTCCCTTGACATAAATAAATAAAACATCATTTTTTAATTCTTTCACTTTTGTAGGTATTACATCAATGTTACCAAAATACAATTTAGGTCAATTTTTACCCCTAAAAGTATGGGGATTGTTTTCAACTTCTTGTTGGATCACCATCATTGTCGTCATCAAATCTTCTTCCTCTTCTTCTTTATTAATCGATGATGGTCATTTTGGACTACTAGACCATTCCATAATTCAGCACGAAACACATGCAATCTCAGTAAAAAAACATGATTTTTCTCTCTCGTTTGCAGTTTTCATATGCGGTCAATTGACATTTCTTATGATGAACTGACAGGTTACTACACTGGCGAGTTACGAGTGCACAGTCCCACATCGCCTGGGCAGAGGAAAGGTGAAGTGCTTATATGTAAGTGTGTCATCTCCAATTTTATCTGCTTTAAGCCTGAGCCCGCACGGTTTTGCTCTTAAGCTTCACCCCAAAAGGGCTCATACCAATTGGAGATGACACGCTTATATATAAGTACTTCACCTTTCCTCTACCCAAGCAATGTGGGACAGGCACCCGTAGCTCGTCAGTGTGGTAGCCTGACAGTGACTCTCGCACCCGCCCACGGCACACCCGCCCACAGGGTCATCACATTTCTACATAGATTCTTCATATTGAATGTGTTGTAAAACATAAAATGGAAGTGAAAGGATAAATAAAACAAGTAAAACACAAAGATATTAAGTGGTTCAACCACTAGGGCCTACATCCACGACACAAAGAGCCCAAAGGGGTACATTACTTTAATAATATATTCTCTCTTAATCTTTATATACAATGATTATCTTAATTTTTAGGTGAAAGAATATAGGTGATAAATATGAAAATATATTAATGAAAAATTCTTAAAATCAAACCATAAATCACTCCAATCAATATTCTATCATACGCTAAAATCTCTCGTATCAAATATTGTGTCAAGCAGTAATTTAAGGGTTCCTATAATAATATTTTCCAAATATAACATCTTCTAACATAATATTAATAAGAATCCAATAAAATCCCTTGTTAGAAAAACAAAAATTATAAATATATGAAATACAGATGCGATTGACCATATCTATTGTGTTATTGCTATTGTGTGTACAGTAATAATCTATGAAATACAGACATTTCTCCTAGGAGTGTCCTACACTTGGAGCCATGGAACATGGCTCAACACATGTTTAGAAGTGTCCTAAAATTTGATATATAAATTTTTAGTTCGACAAGATATGGACACGACGGTCTTTAAGTGCGATTAAGGTGCGTTCGATCTACCAATTTTTACCCTCAACTTTTTATGTATTTTTATTTTTATTTTTATTGGTACTCATAGACACATGCCTCCACTGAAACTTTAATCCCTGACCTCCCTCTAGAAAGTAAGACTCTAATACCGTTAGGCCACTAGCCTGTTGATTTTTACCCTCAACTTTCAAATGTGGTTTCTATCATTTCTTAATACTT